CCCCCCCCCCCCCCAGCCCCCGGCCGTGCGAAGCAACACGTCTACGAAGTCTCGCCCCATTCTTCCGCGGGCTCGGCGGCCGCCTCCTCCATCTCCCTCCGCTCTCGATCCAACTCGTCGGCGTGGCTCGCCATCAGTCGGGTCATGAGGGCAATGCTGGGGCTGAACCCGGCGCCCACCATCACCTGGGCGATCTCCAGGGCCTCTCCGACCCTCCCCGCGGAGTCGCAGGCGCCGAGGACAGCTCGGAACGCTTCCTCCGGGGGCGGGGGTAGGTGGTCCGCGGCTGTCATGTCGTCCAGTATGGCCCTGGCACGCTCCCAGTCCCCGCCCCCCCCCCCCGCACCGCCGTTGTTATTGTTGTTCACGGACCTCCTACTATCGGTGCTTGATGCCCCGCTGCCTGGCGCGGAAGAGCTGCCGCCTTCGTCTGCTGCTGCGGCGGTGGAGGTGCTGCTGCTCCCAGCAGCAACTACCGCGTCAGGGTCCACGCGAGGCGTTCGTCCTTGACCGCTACTTCTACCCCCCCTGGCTGCCGCCGGTGCTGCCGGTGCCGCCGATGCCGCCGCCGCCAGCGGCGACAACACGTTCACCGCTCCGGCGCGGGAAACATCCCCTCTAGCGGACGCCGGCGACGTAGTCCCGCCGTCGCCATCCCGCCGAGAAGTCGCTGCCGTCGTCACCTCGCCCTCCCGCGAGAAGGGTGCAACGTCACCGCCGCCGAAGCCCACCGCGCCACTCCCGCCGGCGCCCGCCGTAGCTCCGCCTGTGGTCCAAGCGGCGCCGCCCATGGTTCCCGGGGGGGCGACATTTTTCTCGTTGCCGTCTTCGTCGAACTCGGGCGGGCTTGCCCTTCCCCCCGGGATGACGACCCACTCCAACCCCGGCCGTTCCTCCGCCTTCCTCTCCTCCTCTTCGCCCAGCGGCGGCTGTGGTCGCTGCGGGTTCAAGCTCTCTGCCGCCGCCGCCGCCGCCGCCGCCGCAGCCGCAGCCGGTACCTTCTCGGCAACCCGTCCCCGCTCGACGTCCTCGTCTACCGACGAGGCGGGGTCCCCGACGCCCGGGACGGAGGTGTCGGCGGTGGCTAGCCGCAACACCGCGGCGACGCCGTTATCACCGTCATCACCATCGTCACGGGGAGGAGGAGGATTTACCGTGACGACTTCACTCGTAGCAGCGGCGGCGGAGTGTTGTTCGCTCTCCGGCGCTTCCCCCTCCGAGAACAGCTTTCGCCTGACGCCCGCGAGGTCTTCCGGAGACATGGCCCCGTTCGCAACCGCGGGAGGCCGCAACGGCAGCCTCTGCCGCGATGTCGCCGGCGGTGTGGTGAAGGGCGACTGCTGCTGTGGGGCGGCGAGGGAGTCCTGAGGGACGGTGGGGTTGCAGCACGCCTCTATGGCGAGCATGTACGCCTCTTCGCTGGCCTGGAAACCCTCCAGCTTCATCCACCTGAGCACGTCTCGGGCGAGGCTCCCGTCGCCCGCCGCGGCACACATCTGCAAGCGGGACCCCCCCCCCCCCCCCCCCCCCCCCCCCCCCCCCCCCCCCCC